CACAATAACACTGAAAGCCGTTCAGACGGTTTGTATTCCACCTGAGGTTGCAAATCATGTGCAAAACACAAAAGACCTAATGAAAGTGGATCCACCAAGATTGGATCAAATGGAAAAGTTGGACCCCTCTTGAAACGATAAGGGTTCTTATTCGTAATTCTTGATCTTGATAATTTAAGAGATATCTAGTCCAATACCGTATGCTAACAGTTTCAGGACCCTATCGAGTTTATACAGGACTTTACTTGGTGATAATGTCAGATTGGAAGACTTGTGGATTTGTTTATTATTTTCACAGAGTAGAGTTTACTTGTTTACTGTACATTACCAAAAGCTAGTTCTTGTATGTAAAGTCAAATATGCCTTGAGCTCTTATGGCCAAGTAGGTTGTAAAGTGACTTGATATCTTTGGGTGCAAGCAACATGTTGGTCATTTCATCTCCTAAGGTGTCGAGTACATTTATACTTTAATCTCAAGTTGAAAACTGCAAGAACCGTACATGATGGTGCTGTTATTTATTTAAATTTGACACTGTTTTTAATGAGACATGGGTCTTGAAAGACTTTAGTTTTATCAGTGATTAAGATTGATAAACGATTCTTCTTCAGGACTTCATGCATAAACTCTGTCCATATCTATACTACCTCTATAAGGATGAGTATTTTGTAAAAACTATATCAGCTACTTTAAAAAGGTGTGTGATTTTGTAAAAAAGTGAGTTATCTAAAAACTTCTTATTTTCATATATTTTTAATGGTAAATTAGAAATATATTGATACCTATTATATTTTATATTTTTAATTAATAATTAATATACATAAATTTTTTTTTCGGATTTAGTTATGAGAAAGTAAACATTAATTAATGTCTTAATAAATTAAAAAAAATTAATTAATTAATGAGAAAGTATATAGCTTGCATTTAATTGAAAAGTAAAAAAAAAATTAATTAATGTCTTAATAATTTAGTTTATTGTCCTACAAAGTGATAATACATTAGTTTAATATATAATTTACAGTTAACTTTCGATCATAACTAGTACTATTAACTTTAAAAATAACCAAGCGCAAAGATATAGATATTTAAATTTATATAGATAAGACCGGCCGGTCGATATATATATATATATATATACACACTGTTAAGTACAACTAATTTTTCGTAATAAACAATACTTTATATGAATTGTTATTCATATAGTTGAATTTAAATTTATGCAATTTTTATAATATAACTAAAATACCTTTGCCTGTGCATGTGCACAAGTAAAAGAGTACTAGTTGTTAATTAATAACGAACACAAAGTACAGAATTGCCGGCCACGCAGAGCAAAGACTGGTGAAGAAACCTCTATATTGATCACTTTAAACTTGGTCCTCTAATTTGAGTTCGAATTTGAACAAGAATATTGTTTAGTAGTCAAAATTTATTCAAATCTGAATAAGAATATGCACATAATTGAGTTGAAATTATCGAATATTCTATTCTTTAATAATAATTATATATAATTTAATTATGAAATATAAGATTCTATATAAAACTTACTTATATAATATATATATATATATATATATTTAAAAAAAGTATATTTATATATATATTAATTTGAAATGATTTTACATTGCAGATTTCAATCATTTCGGGGAGCAAGTTTTTGGTCGAGCATATCCACATACGGTGCAACTATCAATGTGAGATACAAATGCAAATTATTTTGACTTGCCTCCTAGAAATTTTATGTGGTGATTCTTATATATATGAGTCTCTATATTGTCACATTGATAAGTCTTGGGTACTTCAAATTATTTATTATGTTTCCACATTTGCTTGTTTATTAAAAATAATGAGTTTTCATATGAGTTTTACTAGTATTATCTATATAAATGTCAATTATTTTACGTAATAATATATATATAGAATCTTTAGCTGAATAGAGGAACTTCTAACACTTCTAAACACTATGAGAACCCTGTGGATGCCACTTTCATGTCCTCTTGGTATAGTAAATAGTTTGAATTATTCTGTTGCTAAATCATAAAGGTTATGAACTTATGACTACTGTTAATGAAAGTTATGATGGGTCGCATGTAGTGTTTTTTTTTTTTTAAATCCATCCAGGTTACTCGGCTGTCATGAATATATATACAAGTTTATTGTGGTGATTCATTTTTGAAGTATTTTTACTACCAAATTAAACCAGCTCTTCTTTCTGAAACTATTGACTAANGAGATCGAAGATGTTTTTGCATTTGAATATTAGATAAATTTATGTAATTTAGAAATATTTGGTTGTTTAATTGAGATATATAATTATGTCTAGGGTCAGTGTTAAGAATGAAATACTTAAAGACTTTTTATGTAAAGTCATTACAAGTTTTTTTAAGTAAGGCATTTTAGTATTTACACAAAGCATTAGGACATTTGACATCAATTTCAGGTATACATGTTAGGAATGTACAAGGCTAAAAGGAAATGAAGCATTAGGACATTTGACATCAATTTCAGGTATACATGTTAGGAATGTACAAGGCTAAAAGGAAATGATTTGACTGTAGAATAACCCAAGATATTTTTTATTATTTATATAAAAAATAATAAACACAACAAAATTAGCTACAAATAAGTATTAGTGAATTATAAAACAAGTACTGACTTATTTTTTTAACTAAATATTTTTCTATCATTTATGTAAAAAATTACTAAATAATGCAAAATGAGTATAGTTGTCACAACATATAAGTACAATTATCTACAGAATAATTTTTGATTTAGTAAACTGGAACTATGACATTTTTTTATCTATTAGTGAGAAAAATACTAAATACTACTCCCTCTGTTTCGTTTTAAATGTCGTTGTAGGGTATCAATTTTTTTGCATATTAATTGTCGTTGGAAATATTATATTCATTCTTACATCTTTATTCTCTTTAACAAACATTATCTCTTATCATTATCTTTAAAAATCACCCATTAATAAATCAAAAACTAAATTTAATAAGATTAAAAAATAAAATTATTACACAACCCATTAAAATCGTAATTTAGAAGTTTTAAATTAAAACGACATTTAATAAGAAACGGAGAGAGTACAAAATAAGTATTGCTCTCACTCACACTAAACAAATACTAGTGAAAACAAATACGAGTCACAAAACTATCATGTATGTAAAAAGGTTTTAAACACGATAAAATAAGAATTAATGCTCTCACACCAGATAAGTACTAATGAGTTATAGAACATATATCGACTTACTAAACATGAACTAAGATATTATTTTCATTTGTATGAATAGGTACTAAATATTTTAAAATAGTTACTAATCTCACATATAAGTATTACAGAACTACAAAACATGTATCAAAATAAAAAACATAGAAACAAGATGTTTTTATTATTTATGTAAAAAAGTACTAACAATGAGTATTAGTAAACTATCTTAATTAATATGACATGTAGAATATTTTATTAGGGACTTGAGGGAATTGGCTATAAAAAACTATTTTAATCATGAAAACAAACTGAGTTATCTCTCAGTAACATTAACTTAAGCAACTCAAAACTTCAATTTTGTCGTTATTTTCATCTTATTGGAAAGTTAGAAATTACGAGAACATAATTAGTTACATTTTTTGTTTTTTAATATTTTGAATATATATTTTTTTATTCATTTATTTAAAACATGGCCGATTGAACCAAAAAATAAATAAATCACCACTTATATAACCGCGCGGGGGCAACATTCGGGTCGGATTTAAACCAGATCGCAAACGTCAAATCGGGGCTCTATATAGAGGCAGAAATTTGATCTGCAAGTATCACAATTCCAAATGCTCCGCAAATTACCGCCAAAACGCCTCCCTCACAAAAATTACTCGCTAAGCACACTAAAATAGTTTCTGCTGGCGGTTCATAGTTTCGTAAGCCCTTGTTTGCTTTTCAGGATGAGATTGGACTAATTTAGTCCAATGGAGAAGGATTGTATTGTTGGGATTGGACTATTCCTGTGTTTGTTATATATGATAAGGGGGTAGGATAACTTTAAATTAAAAAATAAAAAAAAAATGTGTAGGTGGTGTAAAATACTGTTTTACCCATTTCAAATAAATCAAAAACAGTCCAAAAATTATTAAAATGAGGGTAAATTAAATATTTACTACAACAGGATAATAATAATTCCACCTATTTCCTGGGATTAGTTTATCCCATGTACGAGGGATTAAGTCATTTTTATACCGGGCCGATGGGATTCCTGCGGGCTTTAGTCCCATGAACCAAATGCAGGATTAAATCTGGATTAAGCGGGATATCCTGCCTAATCCCCCCATGTTTGATTGGTGGGATGGGATTGTACTAAAATAATCCATGATGGTAGGATTTTACTGTTTGGACTATTTTTATGTTGGGTTTGTTATGTGTCATTGTGTAGGATAACTTATAAGTAAAAAAAAAGGAAAAAATGCACAAACCAACATCACTTGTATAAAATACTATTTTGCCCCTACTATCTCCCAACGTAACACAGGCAAATAAGAATCAGACAAAAATCTATGCAGACCACATTATTTTATCACTCTCAATTTCATTTAGGAGCCACATTATTTTATAACTTCCAGCTGGTCAACACTTGTATACAGTCTATCAATTTTAGTTCAATTTCCTACAGCCACGTATGGAGACGAAAAAGAGAAACTCCAGAACAAGTGAGTGAAAATTAAGAGAGATGCTAAAATAAATGAACTCTTGTTCAAAGCCACACATCAAAAAGCAGAAATTGAATATGTGGTCCGATGAAAGACTGAACAAGAAATAGGGTGGGAATTTACTGGTCTTCCTACTCTTAACTTTGTCGACCCAGGCTTTTTAAATCAAATCCGCTTTCTGGTCACCTTTTCTCGACCCATTTTTGACATATTAGAAAAAAATGGAATTTTTTTTCGAAAAAGCCGTATTTTATAGAGTGCACACACACACACACACCAAATCGTTTGGGTGCGACAAATGGAACTTACGGGGAGGATGAGAGAGCAGAGAACGAGGGAAACGACGGAGGACACGGTTGCGCAAGCAAAACGACGTATCATGAATGATTTAAAAGAATCCGGTAGGGGTAGTCGGAGAATCAACATCTATAGAATCAACTTCGGCAGACCGACGCCGCCTTGCTGCGGATTCATCAGCGTCGGGTCAGCGTAATCACTCGGTAAGGTTCAATTGAATCCCGCAAGTATGTCGGTCACACGGTACAGCTGGGTGTGTTGTAATTAGATAGGGATTGAGGGTAAAATAAGAATTTAACACAATAGGATAGAAGTAATCCCACCCTTTCCCTGGGATTCATTTATCCCATGAATACGGGATTAAGCCATTTTTATACCGGGCTGATCCCATTCCTGCGGGCCTTAGTCCCACGAACCAAACGCAGGATTGTGCTTGGATTAGGCGGGATATCCTGCCTAATCCCACCAAACAAACATGCACTAAGTGTTTGTAATCATTCCTTTTTCTAAATTGAGAATTGGTACTTTCTAAACTGAGAATCGGTACTTTTGTTAAGTTGGGCACACACAACACGTGGATACTAACGTATTAACAAAGTAATTACAAAACACACAATATAGACCAAGATACAATACTTCACTTATCAAGACCAAAACACACCAACTATGACATACACACATTTTTACTTAGACTCTTGGATGCTTGGATTATTGGGATTGATTGCAAATGAGGTGGTCTTGCCGATTTATAGACAACCCTCCCTCTAATGAGCTATCTAGAACTAGCTACACTCATGAGGTTTCCCTAACGCTCTTGCCTCTTCTAGGCTATTCTAAAACTTACTAATATTATGTACAATGGTCTAGACTTATCTATATAAGTCTAGTTCCTACAATATTCTACAACATTCTAGTAATCTCTATTACCTTCTAGAATCTTCTACATCCTTCAACTAGCTTCCTCAATTATTGGGAGGTCAAATTACTTTACTAAATGATTGGAAATTTTGTGTTTCTGCAGTATTAAAGTCTGAGAATGAGTCTGTCATAGTTGTACAGGCTCTTATTTCATGTCCCCTCAATCACTTGGTTAGGTTTTAAGATTATGAAACTTGTATCTGATTTGTTTTTGTCAATTAACTGATGGGGAGGAGCTTGAATTGTAACAATTTCTGTGACTATACTTGTAGGTGAATGACTGGTTAAAGGAGTTCAAGCATTCATTCATCAAGTGTCCCTTCTCGATGAAAGACTTGATAGAAATAAAATTCCTCCCTGATGGAACAGAGTCAAAGTATGGAACCTACTTTGAGGAGAAAGGCATGATAGGTAAACATGCATTACTTTCTTCTTGTCAATATATATCAGAGTATAATATTAGTTTATAGTTGATTTATTTTTTGTAACCTGATGTTCTAAAAGCATATGGAGGGTTTGGAGAGGTGTTCGAATGTAAGGGCATACTGGATGGACAACTTTACGCTGTGAAAAAGATTCATATAGACTGTAAGAAGAAAGGCTTTGATCAACTGTTGAGGTTAGATATTGAACTTCTGTAAACACAAGTGTTATGCTTTTTAATTATTAGATTTAGACCGTGGTTATATGAATGAGAGGTTCTATTACCTAAGTTTCAGTTTTGAAAAGTTGAATTGCATGCTTTGAGAAAGAGAAAGCATGTTGCATGTCGATTTAGCCTTGTGTTACCTTGAGTATAGTTGAGCCTTTCAATGTTATTTTTGTGCTGAAATTGTGATTGATTTCATGCTGAGATTGAGCTTAAGTTTTCAGTTTCGAAGAGTTTTTCATGTTTAAGTTTTAGCAAGTTTGAAGAGAAAAGAAAGAGAAGCATGTTGTTGTTTATGTGGTGATTTTTGTCTTGCTTGTTTATGTCATTTTTTGAAGCTGCTGTTATATGCTACTTTTGTGCTAAAATTATGAGTTTTGAGGGGTTAAGTTTCAGTTAAGAATCAGTTTATAAGTATGCTTAGAGTTGTTAAAAAATTAAGGAAGTTAAAGAGCTATTCTGATGCATGTTTTGGCCTTATTATTTATGAAGTTGCTGAGCCTAGTTAAGTGCCTCTTATGTGCTGTTTATGTGCTAATTTTTCAGAGTATTGTTCTGCTTTGTGGCCTTAGTCTTCTGTCTTTCCTTATTTCTTTTTGTAGTGTTATGCTTTTTAATTATTAGATTTAGACCGTGGTTATATGAATGAGAAGTTCTATTACGTAAGTTTCAGTTTTGAAAAGTTGAATTGCATGCTTTGAGAAAGAGAAAGCATGTTGCACGTTGCTTTATCCTTGTGTTGTCTTGAGTATAGCTGAGCCTTTTAATGTTATTTTTGTGCTGAAATTGTGATTCATTTCATGCTGAGATTGAGCTTAAGTTTTCAGTTTCGAAGAGTTAATTTCATGTTTAAGTTTTAGCAAGTTTGAAGAGAAAAAGAAAGAGAAGCATGTTGTTGTTTATGTGGTGATTTTTGCCTTGCTTGTTTATGTCACTTTTTTTAAGCTACTGTTACATGCTATTTTTGTGCTGAAATTATGAGTTTTGAGGGGTTAAGTTTCAGTTAAGAATCAGTTTATAAGCATGCTTAGAGTTGTCAAAAAATTAAGGAAGTTATGGGATATTTTGATGCATGTTTTGGCCTTATTATTTATGAAGTTGCTGAGCCTTGTTAAGTGCCTTTTTATGTGCTTAATTTTCAGAGGATTGTTCAGCTTTGTGGCCTTAGTCTTTTCTCTTTCCTTATTTCTTTTTGTATTGTTATGCTTTTCAATTATTAGATTTAGACCGTGGTTGTATGAACTGCTCTTTTCTCTTTCCGTATTTATTTTTGTAGAGAGGTTACAGCACTCGCTGCACTTAGTCACCCAAATATTGTCAGATACTTCCACGTAAGTTTGTGATAATGATTCAAATAATACTGGACGGGGGGTTACAGTGATAGTATCTGATGGAGTTTCTTTGTATATAGGCTTGGGTTGAGCCTCAAAAATACATGCCTGACTACAATAGGGAGGATTGTGAATCTGATGACCGTGCAACAAAGAAAAAGGAGACCGAGGACAACGAATTTGAAGACAAGGCTCCTTTGCTGTACATTCTCATGGAACGTTGCTCTAAGTAAGTTTAAATCGTTATAAGTTCATTTTGTTGGCTGATAGACATACTCTGTGTGTTGATATTTGTCAATGATACTCTGTGTATCTGCATATCTTTTAATTTGGGCTGTCTAGTTCTATCTTTTCTCAAACTATTGATTTTGCGAATTCAATCCACAGGCTAGTTTAAGTTGGATGTAATTGGCTCTTGCTTACATTTGAGCTTCTTTTGTACCTATCTGGCTAGTGGGATTGTTAGTTTTACCTTCACTCCTTGGTAAATGAGACCTATCCAATGATACTTGTTGCATTTTAAATATGCTATCTTCCGTTGACTGAAAAGTTTTACATATGCTCCCTTTCGTATTATCATGGATGAACTTCTGTGTCAATTTAATCCAAAGCAAAATTTTATTTGTGGAATTAATAGTATTATTGTATTATAGTACGCTGTTACGAGCTACCCATCATGATAAAATTTTCCTTTCTATTTCTTCACTCTTTTACCAACATTTCTATTTATTTACTTTGCTTTATGTGAGAACTCTCAAAATCAGTTTTCATCATATGTGTGTTGAATTTTGCATGTTGCTCTTGTTTTAGGACCTTGTTGAAGTTTCTTGATGATGAACTCCCTAAGAGACAGAAAGCACTCGTCCTGTTTCAACAAATTCTGAAGGCTGTGGAGTTTATTCACGCAAATGGGTTTGTCCATGGAGACCTCACTGCAAGGAACATATTCCTCGACAAAAAAAAATACAGTGAGGGTGGGAGATTTTGGACTGGGTGAGTATGAGCCAATTTAATACATCCTATTGCTTCATTTATTACATTAGTATTTATCTTTCTTTTTTGTTCTGTTTTTGTATTTTTTTCTTCTGGTAGCTAGAGTAGTTGATGAAGAAGGTCATGTGTTGAAGTCCAATCCGTATGGAATTGACTTCTATATGGCTCCTGAGTCGAAAAAAGGTGCAGTGATAGACAAGAAGGCCGAATCTGTAGAACGGGCTCTGTATGTTGGAAGAAACAGCCCAACTACAGGCTTTACACTCCGCCGAACACACATTCGAGAAATCGACAAGTGCCAGTGTTTGGATAAGACTTTGAGGCGGACAAGAGACTTATCCGGCAGCCTAAGGAAGATGTCAAACAATATGTCATCTGGTAAACTCCTTGTCATTCTGCCGCAGGCGTGGATTGTAGATCTTCTTTGGTATACCTAATACGGGATAAAAGAACAAACTTTACCACCTTTTTCTGGACAGAAAATAAAAACTTATACATCGGAAACAGATGAATGGGGGGTTTTTTCTCTTCTTTTTCTACGACCACTTGAATTTCAATAATAACGGAATAGCTTACCTGAATAAAGATTCGTGATTTACCACAGGGAGAAAACTAAGAATCGATTGCGAAAATTCATCAGGAATTAAATATGTGTACGTAAATACTGTGAACTGATTGAGCTGAATACAGAAAATTAATCACAGATCAAACCACTGAGCACAAATACCTGATAATTTTAGTGCACCAATTTTCTGTTGTTTGATGGGTTTCAGCGGAATGAATAATGATGCCACATATATTTGTCTTTTCGAACTTATATATGTCCCAGGATGAATTGGGAAAGGTCAAAGGTTGGAAGTTAAGATATTAGTCCATACGAATTTTCTTTTCGATAATGAAAAGTTTTCAATATTTGCTCCACGTATAGTTTCAAATTCGGCCCAATTGGGCCGACTAAACAATATTCGACCCAAAGTATTTATTACAGGACACTTATTAATACATAATTGGTGGATAACTATGGATGACTCTATAAACCGAGCCATCTGATGGCTCAATAGTAAAACCGTCATGAACAATATTTATCGTTTTTTTTTCTTCCTCTTTAGGAGCGTGTATTCTCCTGCATAGGAGTGCGTATTTTCCACTTGTAGGAGTTTTTTTGTTTATTGAGTGTTCTATTTGTGTTGAGTGTTGAGTTGTGGTATTTATGTTACCTTGAGTAGACCTCTAATCTAAATTCAACTGTGTGGCTGCTTTCGGCTAGTTAGCCGCTTTTAAATATATGTTTTTATTAATGAATTATATCGTTTGAAAAAAAAGTATAGTTGTCAATTGAGTGATTCGCCTCTTGTCCACCTGTTCTAAATAATGGAAGTTCGTAGAGAAAAAATTAAATGTTAGATAACCTGGTGCTCCCAACTTTCATTCAAATGTCGCTGGTACACCCCTTGTTTTTGTCCTCCCATCATTTTTTTTTCTTCATCAGATGTGAAAGAGAACCTGGAAACTTCCTATCGGTCAAAGAATTAAAAATTTTTTTTGGAAAAGCTGGTATGGGTTTCTGAGTACCAAATGTCAACTTCTCAACAAAGGAATAAGAGGGGATGTGATTTGTGACTTCTGTGGGGGAGGGGGAAGAGGATATATATCACATATTCTTCAGATGTCAAAGAGCAAGAGCATGTTGGAGGTTGCTTGGGGTTAGCTGGGACAGAATTGAGAAAGATGGTGGGTTGAGATCTGCAACATTAGAGGGGCTGACGCCATCATAGATAGAACTAAGTCTCTCAATTTATCTTCTATGGTGGCTTTGGAAAACTAGGAATCAGTGGTGCTTGAACAAAGGTGGTGGAGTGTGGAGAGGGTAGTAAACTGTGCTAGAGAAGATTGGTCAGTATTCAATGTGTGTGTTGATGACCAAAAGAGAAGAAGGGAGAGTGGAGAACTGAGAGATCAGTTAGGGATGTGGTTTCAGGGAATGATGCTCACTTCATCATAACAGTTAGCCTTTGGTACTCGGGGGAGGATCTACTGGGGTTTGGGGAAAGAGTGCAGGGAGCTGAAGACTGAGCATGTGTGGTTCCATCTAAGGACTTCTCCGGGGGTTCAGTGGAGGCCAAAACCATAGCAGTCTTGTGGGTCTTGAGGAAGGCAGCAAACCATCTCTTGAAGAACATCACCTGCATCCTTCACTGCAAGAAGACTATTGGCACACTCAAACAAGTGGAAGAAGCGTGTGGATTCTGATGGGGATGAGGCCTTAGATTTTCTTTCTATTTGTTCTCAGTTTAGCTCTTGTTCATTTTTCTTTGTTGATTTGGTTTGTAAAATTAGTTTAGACATGGCCGTGAAGGCTCTCGAAGGAAACAATAGTTGATTCCCTGTTGCTCACTTTATGTTGTAACGTTTGAATATTGTACCCAATTGGGTACCAATGTCTCATTTTGAATTAATAGATTTTATCGAANAAAAAAAAAAAAAAAAAAACTTTTTTTGTCCTCTCATAAAAGCGGAAGAGTCCAATTAAAGACCTGGAAATAACAATAAATGATGAAAGATGAATATAGGATTTGGTGCATTAAACCCTATAATGTTTTATGTGCTTTCATACTTCACATTTTCAAGCATCATTACATTAATAGAACTTCTTCAGATTTAGCTCTTAACAAACCAAGTCATACAAACTGTGCACAGAAGTAGCCATATCTTCTAAACCATGGAACAAAATCCGAAACTTCTCATATACAGCACTTAACTTCCTCCTCTTTGGGAACTTGAAGGCACTACTAATTGTGAAATCAATCTTTAATCACACGACATGAGCATTACACAAAGCTGCTCTCGTTTATCGCTGAAGGCACTCCACCTCATCCCTACTACCCCACTACTAAAGGCGGGGAAATGAAGGATT